AAACTTCTATTCCGTATTCTGAAAATAGTGATGGAGATCAGCTTGTTTGAGATTTTTTACAACATTTAACCGAACCCGTTTGTACAATTTTCTTAGAATCTTTACTTCTTCTTCAACATCTCCAAACTCAGGACCTTGTTTGTATAAAAACCTTAGTGTTTTGTCTACGCAAATTTCTGCCTCAGTGTAGCTAACTTTCTCTTGTTTAATAAATTCTTTTTCTTCCTCACTTTCTTCTTTATTCTCACTTTCAATAATCTCCAAAATTCCTTCTTCAGTTAGCCCACCTTTAACCTCATCGTCCTCAGCATGGATATATTCGTATGCGGTAAGAGAATCATTTGTTGATAAGCAGCCAATTAGTTCTGCAAGTTTTGATTCATCATCCATGTTACTAATATTTTTTTTTTTTGTTTAATAAAAATGTTTTATGATACAGCAGTAATTATTGATGTATCAAAAGTTGAAAATTAATAGTTAACATTAATAAGTATAAGCCTTTAAAAATGTAGAGGTGTGAATTTAACGCCGTTATGGCGTTACTTTCACACCTCTAATTCTGCTATTACTAATTACCTGTCTTGATCAAGTTCATTAAGTTCTTCGGATTCTTCGGGGCCATCATATAGAAGAATACCAGTTTTTCGCCAGCAATTTTTAATTGTATTTGGTGATACCATAGACCATGCTTCGAATGCATTAACTATGGCTTCATAAATATTGTACGGGACTATTTCATTTCCTACTCCATTTTGCATGTTATCATATGCACTAATCCTGTTTTGGACAAAAGACTTTTATAGTGGCACTTAAACGAATTGATAATTCCTGCATCGCAGAGTTGGAGAATCGAGGTCGTATTTGCTAGAAGAAATTCTACACGCAAATTATCTAGTTTCGCCTTAGTTTCATCAAGAACAATATGCACTGGTGCATTATCAACTAAAAGTATAATTTTCTGATTTCTTAGTTTCATTCGATCGTTAAGCTTAAGGAGAAGATCATTAAAAATATTAACTTGCATCCAGGCTTTTTTGTTCCAGTAATAGTAAACGGGAAGATTAGCATAGTTAAGATTTCATAAGGGACGTGGTGTTTTATGAGTATGAATAAAGGCAAGTTTCATTTTTTCAGTTCCACTTGCATTTGCAGCACATAATATTGATACATGCGATTTTTCTTTTTTATGCCCTACTAATCTTGAACGAGCCAAAGTACAGGAAGGTCTCATTTTCCAGTAAAGTCCAGTTTCGTCAGCATTCCAAATATCTTTAAGGTTATAGGATTGAAGTAATTCTTGTAAGGCAAGTCAGTCATTTTCTATTTGCTCCATAGGAGGTGCACTTGCTGATTCACCTTCTTTTTTAAACTGGCGGAGCCCATAACGTTTTTTGAAACCAGTAAGCCAACCATCAGATTGGTGAAAATCATCAATAAGAAAATGATCTGCATAAAACTTCGCCTTTGTCTTAAGAATATGACCGTCAATATCTTGATCACTATTAAGCGCATTATCTACCCAGAGACCAAGAGCTTCTTCAAGTTTTGGCCACTTTGACCCGCGAAATTTTTTTACTTCACCTTCTTCTTCAGTCGTAGCTAACCAACGTTCTTTTTCATTTAGGATATCCATTATTGTTGACTTTCCAACCTGATATTTATTTGCAAGATTTACATTTTTAATATTGGATTCATTTCTTTTGCTTGGCAAATATCATGTTTTTGCACTGCAGAAAGAATTACCTGTTTTTTTGTTGACATACTGCCAAGGTAAAGTACGAATAGCCTGTAATTTCCAAATATTTATACAAAATACAACGAGGAATTTCTAATAATCTAATTAATAAATTTATGAATTTATACAGATAACATTATTATCTTAATATAGCATTTATACTGTATAATTATACATGCATATGCGTATGAATAAGCATAGATAATGCAGCATGCAAAGCTGTTTCTAGCTAAATGACTTACGCCATATACTGGAAATAGAGTAGACACATTGTACGTATCCTTGTTTTTATTATTCAAAAAAAAAAAAAAAATTATCAGGTCGGGATTAATTACTACACTAGCTGAAAATAAGACTCGTTATACTATTTCATTAGTTAACCATATGATTTCGTGGATATTTATGTCTGTGAAATCAGATATTATCCTAGGAAGGTATTAAATGTAGTACTTTGCAGTATGTTGAATAATTTTGCCATTAAAATTTTTTTGTTAACTCGCACTATTAAAATGAGGATAATCTGATCTTAACAATGGGTGCCAAAATTCAAAAAAGAAATCGTAACAATTGGTTTAATTTTTTTTTTTTTTTTTTAAATTTCGCCACCTTTCTATAATTTAATATAGCGCATAAATGGAAATTTTAACAATAGAAATAATAATTAGGGCACTAACAATTAAGAGCTCAATATCCCCAGCGGCCCTCCAGAACAATGACAAGTTCTAAAATAATCAATAATATATATTGATTATTTTAGAACTTGTTATTGTTCTGGGGCCATTGGGGAGTTTTTTTTTGATATAGCAGCACTAATATCAATTTTTTAGAATCATTACGTTATCCAATAGGAGTGACCAAACCATGCACACCATGCGACCATGAAATTCATGTGCACCATGCTGCATGACACGGTCTGAAATGCACATGGTGCCTATCTCTAATTAAGACATAAAGAAGAAGCAACGTAATGAATAAATCTCAATGCGTTTAGCGAATATGAATTGTGGGAACTTTTGACCCAACTTTTGGGGATCACGAAAGATAAATTACAGTATTACACATTTTTGTTGTTATTTTTATATTACTTTTTACTTAACTAACTATCATATTTTGAGGTTTTTAGAGGCTTTTTTTTTTTTTTTTTTTTTTACTATTTCGTTATATTACAGATGTTTTCAAAGTACAATGGGTAAGTTTCTCGATTTACCTTACTGATATAATACAGTTGATGATGATATGATACGCAATACTGATACGATATGATACGACGATATGCGATACGCAATACGGTTTTGATTAACTCAACGACAGCCATTTCATTTAGCTGACATCACATATGGTTAAGCATTTACTAGTTGTAGGTATTGTTACTAGATTTCGCCTATCGTGATGTAAGCTGAATGAGCTATCATTGGTGATTATCGGTGAAATAATACGGGATCCCTTATTAATTAAGTCTAAAAAGTGATTTTGTAATTAATTTTTATTTATTGTAAATTAGATGAATTAAAAAAAAAAATAACCAATTTAGAAAAAAAATATGAAAAAAACTGTAAAAAACATGAATAACAAAAATAAAATAATTTTAACCGCAGTTTAGATTCTAGCCTCCACGGCTATAAAAATGTAGTTTTTGGCATAAATTAATGAATTGATCGTGTGACTTTAATATATAGTCACATGATAGTTCGTTATATAGAAATATGTATACATAGTTTCCGGCTGGTAAAAAAGAGTTCGGATGCGGTATAAAGAAATTTAATATTTTAGTTCGGTATAACCAACTTAAATTATTATAGAAAAATCTGTTCTGCCAAATCTGGTTCACTATAATCCAATTTCAGTATAAACAGGTTCAGTATAGAGAGAGTCGACTGTATATATGTTACCTCAAAGGTATTATCAAAATTATCATCATAGACACAATAAGTTATAACAAGGTTTGATTTATCTTTAATTATAATTTAGAAGGCAAAAAAGAAAAGAAATTTTAAAGAAACCAAAAACACACCTCCCTATCTCTCTTGTTGATATGTCAAAAAAGAATAATGCTGCCAAGTGAACACAATGTAACTAAATGAAGACATGAAGCTATTTGCAAACCAGCATATCTTTGAAGTAAAAAAACACCAGTTAGCAAAAAGCTGAAGAGCAAAGACTGTTGTTTACATCCCTAAGTAAAAATTTATTTTTTGCATAACATCATCAAAAATTATCTTAGTAAATCGCCACCCAAAAAATTTATAACTATTAATTTTATATATATAAACAAATCAAAAATTTTATTTCATGCTTTTTGTTTCAAGAAAAATTTTTGGATAGGATTCTTTACAAAATATTTCATCTTTAAAATTTAGTATTAACATTTGTAATGTTAGTTCTAAGGATGAAAGAATTATAGTGGGAAAAATATTACTTTATTCTCAAAAAATAAATAATACTATACGGAAACTTTGAATCTATTAATGTGCAGTAACTGCATAGTAACTATGTAGCTACGATTAAATTTAATTCGTGATCCGCCTAAGAACCAGTGACAAAACATAGTAAAAAGTGGGAATATGTTTACTATATAAATTTTGCCTTTTATGAAATCTGGAGTTTCCCAAAGTAAAACTTTTTTCTTTACTGAGTAAACATCTTTTAAAGTTTTAAGTAAAGTTGTGGAGGAGTTTCTTGCGATCAAAATGGCGGTTAAACCGTTAAAATCGGCCCAGTGGATCGCGAGATATGAGTACTTTAGTCTTCGCGACTATATGTTTTCTTTATTTATAAAGAAGAAAACATAGTAGCAAAGATTAAAGTACTCATATCTCGCGATCCACTGGGCCGACTTTAACGTTTTAACCGCCATTTTGATCGCAAGAAACTCCTCTACAACTTTACTTAAAGATTTAAAAGATGTTTACTTAGTAACGAAAAAAGTATTTCTTTGGGAAACTCTAGATTCCAAAAAAGGAAAAATTTAATAGTAAATTTCTTCACAATTTACTAATTAATTTCACTGGTTCTTATGCGGATCACGAATTAATAGTAATTATGTAATTACTACGTCGTTACTATGCAGTTACTGCATATTAAGATATTAAAGTTTCTGTAAAGTACATATGTAATAAAAATTAGAATGTTGGTTTTAATTATAACGATTACTAAATATAAGCAGTTTAAAGTTAACATGAAGAGGCATTAAAAGATACAATAATCCAATTTTATTATTTTTGATTCACCTTATCATTCAATTTTTCAAAAGCAATAGGTACTTCTAAAGATCCCTTTGGCACAAAAGCCAATACTTTAAAAATTTCACCCATGGCTGAAGGGTGAACAAGTCTTTCGGTTGAAGATATTAAATCTTTACGTTTTGCAGGCAATGCATTCTTTAACAACATTAATAATCTAGCCTTTATACCAAGTGATTGAAGAAATTTTGATTGGGTTACAGGACCATATGCATCGACTAATAAATAAATACGCTATTTAATAAAAGTGAAAACATAATATCTATTTACAGAACTGAAATTACCTAAATCTGCTACTGATTCTTTTAAATAATGAAAGTTCACATCAGCACTTAAATCTACTTGTCCTGGGTCACTTAATGGATGAACGAATTCATGTCGTTTTATTGCCTAAAAATTCAATAGGTAAAAATTTGTATTTTCAAATTAATCAAGATATTTATTTGGCAAAACTCTCACCCTCAAAGTATTTCCTTGAATGAAATCTTGTCCATAATCAATAATAAGTGATGTACCACCATTTTCTTTGATATGCTTTGCAATTTGTTTAGAAATTTTCATTGATTCTGGGGATATTTCAATTCTATCTTCAATCTTAAACTTCTCATATGCTATTGA